CATCCCTTTTCGTCATCTCCTCGATCCTCCTCCTTCTTCGTCCTCCTTAAACATAGCCAAACTTACTGGCGATTCCCAGCTGCATCTTACTTGACCTCAACGCTCCCTCTGCAGCCAACTAGGCTTCCCAGTCCATCCCCCTCGTCAAATCGATTTCCATTTACCAACTCTAAGCAAGGTGGTCGCCTCCCAAATCGACTCCTCCGCCTCCTTTTTTCAAAGTAATAATCAAAGTTGATTTGTAATATTTAATTAATTTTTTAATAGGAGGTGGGTTCCGTCTCAAGCCACGTCAGTATTTAATAGAGGAATTGACAAACAAACTGGCGGAAAGTATGATATTGCAACAAATTCAAAGATAAGTATGATATTGAAATGTTTTAAAGATTGGATATAGACCTGGCATTCGTGTCGTGTTTTCCGTGTTCGTGTCGTTTTCGTGTCATACCCGATATCTTAACGGGTCGTGTCGTGTAACACCCGTTAAAATAAACGGGTAAAATGACCCGACCCGAAAGCGACCCGATAATATTAACAGGTAATATGACCCGACCTGTTACCTGTTAAGGAAAATATATTTTAAACCAATAAATAATCAAATGAAAAACATAATACTAAATAAGTATATACATTCCATATTATCACATCCAAAACATAAAAACCCAATTTTGTTTTAAGTATATTTTCGCTTACCTAAAGTCTTTAATAGTTTTTTAATTAATGTAGAAGTGTAAAAAAATATAGAAAACAAATATATAAACACTCGTAATGACAAACTTTATAACTTTCATGAAGAGCTTAACTTCGAAATTCGCCACTATAATCATATAAATCATATATCAAAATTTAACCGTTGATTGTTGTTTACATTTATGCTTCATTGTTCTCATCAAATTTCGTTTTTTTAGATTTTCTTTTTTGAAAACATGATCTATTAGAGGGTGCAGGTAGATGAACGGTTTGGATCGTTGATATTATATTTAGAGTTTTATGGTTAGTGAAAATATTGCTTGATGTTTATAAAGTTTCTACAAATTATATGACATTGACTCATATTTCAGTTAACCGTAAATATCGAAACGTGATATCATCTTCTTACATCCGCCAGATGATCATGTTTTCAAAAAATAAAATTTTAAAAATGAAATTCAGTAAGAAGAATAAAGCGTAAATGACAATCGACGGTTAAATAAATTTAAGGTTTTACTACTACAAAATTATCTATTGCTGGCGGTCCAAAAACTTTTTTCAACGATCTAACCGTCAAACTTATTTGTACACATTCCAAGATTGCATACGTAAAAAATCGTAAAAAACAAACATTCAGAGATTACGTAACGGAACAAAAGTTTTCGACGGTTATAAACGAAAAATCACAATTTAACGGTTATTTTAGCTCCGATTTTGATGATTTTTTACAAATACACTCCTCGACCCTATAAGAATGTAATGAATAAATTTGATCTTTAATTTAAAGTATTTACACTTGTGGATACCACAAAAACTTATTTTATACTTAATAGAAGTATAATATTAACTCTAAGTGTTTGTTTAATCTACTGTTTTGACGCAATATGCATTCTACAAAACTTTTTTCAACGATCCAACCGTCAAACTTATTTGTACACATTCCGAGATCGCATACATAAAAAATCATAAAAAACAAACATTCAGAGATTACGTAACATAACAAAAGTTTTCGACGGTTATAAACGAAAAATCACAATTTAACGGTTATTTGAGCTCCGATTTTGATGATTTTTTACAAATACACTCCTTGACCCTATAAGAATGTAATGAATAAATTTGATCTTTAATTTAAAGTATTTACACTAGTGGATACCACAAAACTTATTTTATACTTAATAGAAGTATAATATTAACTCTAAGTGTTTGTTTAATCAACCGTTTTGACGCAATATGCATTCTACGAAACTTTTTTCAACGATCCAACTGTCAAACTTATTTGTACACATTCCGAGATCGCATACGTAAAAAATCGTAAAAAACAAACATTCAGAGATTACGTAATGGAACAAAAGTTTTCGACGGTTATAAACAAAATATCACAATTTAACGGTTATTTTATCTCCGATTTTGATGATTTTTTACAGATACACTCCTCGACCCTATAAGAATGTAATGAATAAATTTGATCTTTAATTTAAAGTATTTACACTTGTGGATACCACAAAAACTTATTTTATACTTAATAGAAGTATAATATTAACTCTAAGTGTTTGTTTAATCTACTGATTTGACGCAATATGCATTCTACAAAACTTTTTTCAACGATCTAACCGTCAAACTTATTTGTACACATTCCGAGATCGCATACATAAAAAATCATAAAAAAAAAACATTCAGAGATTACGTAACGGAACAAAAATTTTCGACGGTTATAAACGAAAAATCACAATTTAACGGTTATTTTATCTCCGATTTTGATGATTTTTTACAGATACACTCCTCGACCCTATAAGAATGTAATGAATAAATTTGATCTTTAATTTAAAGTATTTACACTAGTGGATACCACAAAATCTTATTTTATACTTAATAGAAGTATAATATTAACTCTAAGTGTTTGTTTAATCTACCGTTTTGACGCAATATGCATTCTACGAAACGTTTTTCAACGATCCAACCGTCAAACTTATTTGTACACATTCCGAGATTGCATACGTAAAAAATCGTAAAAAACAAACATTCAGAGATTACGTAATTGAACAAAAGTTTCCGACGGTTATAAACGAAAAATCACAATTTAACGGTTATTTTATCTCCGATTTTGATGATTTTTTACAGATATACTCCTCGACCTATAAGAATGTAATGAATAAATTTGATCTTTAATTTAAAGTATTTACACTAGTGGATACCACAAAAATTTATTTTATACTTAATAGAAGTATAATATTAACTCTAAGTGTTTGTTTAATCTACTGTTTTGATACAATATGCATTCTACAAAACTTTTTTCAATGATCCAACCGTCAAACTTATTTGTACACATTCCGAGATCGCATACGTAAAAAATCATAAAAAACAAACATTCAGAGATTACGTAACGGAACAAAAGTTTTCGACGGTTATAAACGAAAAATCACAATTTAACGGTTATTTGAGTTCCGATTTTGATGATTTTTTACAGACACACTCCTCGACCCTATAAGAATGTAATGAATAAATTTGATCTTTAATTTAAAGTATTTACACTAGTGGATACCACAAAAACTTATTTTATACTTAATTGAAGTATAATATTAACTTTAAGTGTTTGTTTAATCTACTATTTTGACGCAATATGCATTCTACGAAACTTTTTTTAACGATCCAACCATCAAACTTATTTGTACACATTTCGAGATTGCATACGTAAAAAATCGTAAAAAATAAACATTCAGAGATTACGTAACGGAACAAAAGTTTTCGACGGTTATAAACGAAAAATCACAATTTAACGGTTATTTTAACTCCGATTTTGATGATTTTTTACAGATACACTCCTCGACCATATAAGAATGTAATGAATAAATTTGATCTTTAATTTAAAGTATTTACACTAGTGGATTATACTTAATAAAAGTATAATATTAACTCCAAGTGTTTGTTTAATCTATCGTTTTGACGCAATATGCATTCTACAAAACGTTTTTCAACGATCCAACCGTCAAACTTATTTGTACACATTCCAAGATCGTATATGTAAAAAATCGTAAAAAACAAACATTCAGATATTATGTAATGGAACAAAAGTTTTCGACGATTATAAACGAAAAATCACAATTTAACGGTTATTTTAACTCCGATTTTGATGATTTTTTACATATACACTCCTCGGCCCTATAAGAATGTAATGAATAAATTTGATCTTTAATTTAAAGTATTTACACTAGTGGATACCACAAAAACTTATTTTATACTTAATTGAAGTATAATATTAACTCTAAGTGTTTGTTTAATATACCGTTTTGACGCAATATACATTCTACGAAACGTTTTTCAACAATCCAACCGTCAAACTTATTTGTACACATTCCGAGATTGCAAACTTAAAAAATCGTAAAAAACAAACATTCAGAGATTACGTAATGGAACAAAAGTTTTCGACGGTTATAAACGAAAAATCACAATTTAACGGTTATTTTAGCTTCGATTTTGATGATTTTGTACATATACACTCCTCGACCGTATAAGAATGTAATGAATAAATTTGATCTTTAATTTAAAGCATTTACATTTTTTTATATATGAGTGATTGTATATATATATATTTTTACATTTTTTACACTTCTACAATAATTATTATTAATTTTATTAATTTTGCCCTCAAATAAAAAACATTATTCATGAGGGTTTGAAGGATTTTAAAAATCTAAACGATAATATAAGTGTAACAATTATCTATTCGTAGAGGAATAATGATAAATCCCGAGTGTTTTTATATTCTTTCACATTTTTCATACTTGTATGTATGTCTTCTTAGTTCTTGCATATACAAATACTATACTAGTATATTTTAATTTTGGACAAGAATATGTTATGTAAAATTTATCCTAGTAATGATAATAAGGAACTCTCATAATAAAAATAAATAATGACTAATTTTTAAATTTTTTTTTAAATTTATATAGAACAATAATACAAAACTATATATTTAATATAGAATATATTGTATATATTAATATGACTATTGTATTTTATAATAAATCTTTTAGTAATTAAACTTTAAAATTATTAAAATAATTTTTTTCTTAACGGGTCGAAACAGGTTATCCACGTGTTACCCGCGTGTATACCTGTTAAGAACCCGTTATTAACGGATTCTTAACGGGTCACCCGATAGTGACCCGATAAGTTATCGTGTTGACCCGAAACCCGTTATTTTCGTGTCGTTTTCGTGTCGTGTCAAAAACTGCCAGGTCTAATTGGATATGAACTGTGATTGGCGAGGAATTTAGCCTAAAACTAAACTAAAGCATGAGTATTTGACGTAAGCAGATAATCAGAACGACCGAAGAAACCACAGAATAAAAAAAGAAACCGTGTTGCCATCCATCCGATCCCCCATTCCCCGCAAGATCCCCTCTTTCGTTTGTTCGACTACGCTTGCTTCCTCCTTCCTCCTTCCTCTTTCCATCCATCCATTAAAAAGGTAAATTTTCTGCCTTCAATTTGCTCTGCTGCTTCACTCTCCTCAACTATTTACGCTTACTGCTTTACATCTTCATCCAATTGCATTGTCTGTTTCCATAATTTCGACTGAAGTTTCTAGGAATATAGGATTTAATTGGGTCTGTGCTTGTCTGTGTCTCCCAGGTCTTGTTTCAAGCCAAAGCTTAGATTCTCAGCAGACCTTTTCTGCTCAAAGCTCTCGCTACTTTGTTGTGTTTTTTCTTCACGTGCTCATTTATCTGTGGCTTTCATTTAAGCAGATTCAATTTTTTTTCGTAATTTCGACCGAAGCTTCTAGGAATCTAAGGGCTTTTAAGTGTTTTTAGGCTCTGGTAAATTGGGTCTGGGTTTGTCTGTGTCTCTCCGGCCTTGGTTGAAGGCGAAGGTTGCGTTTGGTTTGATTAGTGTATGTTTTTTTGGATGGTAAGTAAAATACCCAATTACTAGCACCGCGTGTTTTCCTTGTTATCGGATTCAAAAAGGTTCATCGTAACATTCGATTACACGGCTCATTGATTTTTTTGTGTTTAGTTGATCGTTATAAGGTATGCTGGTTTATGCACGTTTATGTCTGCGTCGATGCATCTGTTGGATCTAGTTTCTAATGTTTAGTCGAGGTGGCTGCATTGCAGGAATAGTACATAGTGATATTGGTAATATAGCTTATATTGCAATGAAAACAACTGTTTTCGTTTTCCGCTGTTGCCACTTAATGGGTTCTATAGCATAAGCTACAAGTTGTTTTGAATCTTTAAGGGTTGGGCCCTTGGGGCAGCTTGTCAGGGCATTGTTGATATATAGTTTTTCTATTATTTCATAAACAAACAGTTCTAATCTTGGCAAACGTTGGAAGATGTAGACAGTTAATTATTTTTCTCCGTCTCTTTAATGTCAGAAAAATCAATTTTTGGTGTGGCTAACTCATTATGCATTTTCAGATACTTCTTGGAAGCAGCTACATACACGTACTTGTGGATTTCATAGTGTTGTAATTGTTTCGATGTTGGAGTGAATTTAATAATTTGCAATCAGGATAGCGGAGTCATACTGACAAAAGTCCACAAATATTTCAAAACACATATACTGTTATATGTTGAGAAATTTATCATCGACCATTTTGACTAATAACGCTATCTGCATTTGTGTCTTACTATTAGCAATAAATGGATATGGGAAAAGTTGTTTTTATGTGATGCTTTAATTATTTAAAAACATATGTATACTTTGTAATGGCAGGAAACATGAGTGATTCCTCGAGTAAAGCAACTGGTCTAACAAAAGATGTCGAGACGGAGCTACCGCTGCATTCAGACACGTCAGTAGAAGAAGGCAAGTTTCAATCAGTAGCTAGTGTTGATTGTTGATGTGGTGGATATTGCTTCCTCCAATTTCCAAGTTGTTATAGGATAATTATGAAATCCTTGTTAATTTTGTGACTGCAGATTGGGAATCTATTGCAGATCACACACCTGATGAATTGCTCTCGTCACAATCTTTGCCTGAAGTATCAAAACTATCTTTGGAAGATACCAAAGCTCAGACCCCTAAGCGACGTGGAAGAGGAACATTTTCATATAAGAAACATGAACTTTACAGTGATCAAGTATCTGATAAGTTAATTGTTGATAATGATACACCAGACGATGAAAATGTGTCCCATAATTTGGAGGGGGATCCAAAAGTAATAAAATGTAAGTTATTTGTTTTCCATATTTCATTTGGATGGAACCAATATGCTATGTTCTCTTTTATATAGTGATGTTCCTTGGCTTCCAACCTGTTAATGATTCTGACCCAGAAAAGAAAATGTTGATGCCATATGAAGGTCTGCACGTTGGTTGAACATGAAAGAACTTCACAAGTAAATTATTTAATAAATCCTATAAAATTCTGGCTACCTTTTGTTTGTAATCATTGTCAAATAGCATCTAGGGCTTCTAGTCTGTAGGTTTAAATTTTATCTCAGATGGCATGCAGGAACTGAGTGTTTGTTCTTGTGAATTCAGCAAAATATGGAACACAACATATTCTTGTTCTGGCTGACTTTCCACCAAGCACTACGACAATAGAGTTGGAGAAGCTTTTTGTGAATATTAGAGATCCTGGAGTTATTATTCGCTGGGTCAATGATACAGTTGCTCTTGCAGTTTTCCAAACACCGTCAATTGGTAATTACACAATTACTGAGTTTTTCAACTTCATAAATTTGGAGTTTATGATTAAATTTTAGAGATTCTTGCATTACAAACTTAGACGTGGATTTCTCGGGTCTGCTAGTGTTGTTCATTATTTATGCTGCACATGTTGTATGATGATGATATAAATGGGTGACCAAAAACAGTTGTACATTGTACTTAATGGACAAAACCGATGATTGATAATTTCACTTTTGTTCCAAGTAAGAACTCAAAAGCCCCTAGATTTAGGAAGGAGTGTTTAATGTTCAGACATGGCTGGGTGTGTGATTTGATTCCATTTTTGGGCAGAATGAGGGTTGACTATGATATTTAGTCGTTACAACCTGCAGTCATGGGACTCCTCATGCATGGTAAAAGTACAATGGAAACAAATGTAGCATCCTTCAGACATTGATCAAGAAGCTTCATAATGTTGAAATTTGAGCTACAGTAGGATATAGAGCAGTAAGTGCAGTTTCAAAACTGGTACAATCATTAACAATTTATTATAATTGAAAAAAAAAAATAGGACATAGATACAAACACTCAATGCAAGTTGAATTCTATATGGGCCTTCTAGTTGTAGAGACTAGAGAGAGCCTAACAATTGTTGGCCAACAATCTATCTGCATATGTTTTGGAAGCAATGGTAAACCAACAATACTTATCAGTAACAATAAAGTAATGCAAGTTAAGGTGTGGTCTCAAGTACTTTTTGAAGATGCTCATGGCTGGTGTATGCTGGTCATAGAAAATACCCTGTTATAAGAATCAGTAAAAATAAAATTGGTTTTTAGCAATATGAGAAAGAAGAGATTGCAATTTTTCCAGAAACGAAACGAGTGGATAAACTCTTCTGTTCAATCTTGAAATATAGAAAGTAGATGGAACAAAAGGGATGTAGAGAGAGAAACTGATGTAGGGTGGAGGTCAGGAGATCTTCCTTATGCATGTTTCGTGTGGTGGATTGGGGAGAACAGGTCTGTTAGAATTTTTGGATGAGAACTTTGGCTTTGAAAGCTATTGAGGAGCATTAGGTTGAGATATTTAGGGTTTTAGGCTTTATTTGGGAGGAACAGAGATCTGATTTGGGATAGCAAAGATACAAGGAATTATAAACACAAATGTGCCACCATGGATCCCTGAAAGGTAAATTCAACAGTAACAAGAACAGAACGACATAAGGAAATCTGTGCCTCTTTCAAACACTGAAGCTCGATTTCATTAATCAAACCCTAATAAGCAGGAAATTATAGAGGAAAAGAGTATTTGTAATGCCTAGTGCCTTTATTTTCATTCAAGTTCGAGGGCAGTTTATGCACCAATTCATGCTTATTTATGTAGTCTGGGTGTTAAGCTGTATAAGACTTGTAAAATACTATCTAACTATATCACTGAAGATTCTCTTTGAACGAAATTTTATCTATCTTTTATTTTCGAGAAGTTTCTCTACTACCAATGACCACAGAGTTCTATTATCCCTTCTTTTTGTGTTCTAACTTGGTGGTAGTTGAGTTGCAAATCAATCTCACATTTTGACAACATCCCCGTGTCTTAGATTAAAATTTTAAAAAGCCTTCTGCCTTGTAATCTTAAAATGATTTAAAAGAAAATTGTATAGAGCTGTTTCATTTTTTCAAGCTGCTTAATTTTTTCATTTTCAATGACAAATATGCTTAAATGGTGAAACATTATTGAAACAGTTAGCTATGGTGATGGCTTAATGTATGTTCTTTTGCTACAATGTCTGTGTCATTCTTTTGTTGATTTCAAAATGTGATGATGGCTTAAATGGAAGAATTAAGCACACAATTGTGATTCATTGTCTGCGTTTAAGTTTCTGCTTTGCAGTTACTTTAATCATTTCATGATTTTAATTTTTATGCAGCACTCGAAGCTCTTAGCTGCGTTCGATGTTCTATGACAGTGCGAGTGCTTGAAGAGAATGATTTCCTTTTGAGCTCAATTTCACCGAAAGGTAAAAAAAGCAACATGAACTTTTTACCGTTACACAATAATATTCTCTTACAACACAAAGGAGACCACTATTTTTTTGTCCCCTTATCTACAAATATTGTTTGCCTCATACATTGTATTAATACTATTCGTTACTAGATCTGGAACCTCCTCGACAAAGGCCACAGACATCAGCTAGAACTGCTCAGAGGCTCATTGCTCATGGAATGGGACTGAAACTACCTTCCACGGCCTTTGGGTCAAATGATTTAAAGAAACAGGAAGATGATCGAAAGAGCCGCATAGTCATGAGGCAAAAGTTGAAAGATGATGCTTGGGGTACAGATGAAAATTAATATTTTTCTTACATGACAAATACTTTGCTCCGTTCCTTTTCGATCTGTATATGACCTCTGTAGCTTAAAGGGTCTCTGTATTTGGTCTTGTAAGCACACATAATCAATTTCAATGCTAGAAAAACTTGAGTGGCTTGCATATATATGGTTTCGGAATGCGTGGTTGACTTAACTCGAAGAAATTGCATCTTATTCGATCTTTGTGTGTCTCTACTACAACTATCTTTTTTTATAGGACGTATCTTGTAGCCAAAATAAAGCAACTTTTCGTACATTGTTGCAGCAAATTGTTAACTCCCAACCCTGGTTGTGGGAGGACGAATCACACTTTTACTACTAAACCATACCCGCTACAATCCGAACAAGAAAACTGGTCGAAATGAAAAAAAAAAAAACCTCTAATTTACAGGCTGAGGATCTATGTATGGCTACAAGGATGCGGGGATGCATTGTCCTAGCCAATTGACATAAACCATATACCATCAATTAGATAACTAAAAATGTAGGTAAGACCAATAAAAGTTGTTTTTATGAAACTTACATAGTCCGCACCTGAGGGATTAGTTTTGATTCTCCCTCCTATGAACTCGAGCTCAACTCTCCTTCATTGTAGTTTAAATTAGTTTAATGTGAATTATCGCTCGTATAAAGTAAACTACTTATTCCAACCAAAGTAAGTTTGTTCATATTAGTAATATAATGTACATCAAATACATTACTCTCCCTCGCTCAGGCTGAGGGTTACTTAATCCCTTTAAATCTGAGCACAAAATATTCCCAACATTTTGTTAAGGAAAACTCTAAGAATACTAGAAAGTAAGACACACACACACACACACTCTCTCTCTCTCTCTCTCTAAATTTTATGGTTGTTAGAGGTTGTAGGAGATGAACGACACTTTCTCACAACCACAAAGAACAAACGTAGGAAAATAGTTGCACTCCTCACCCATCGTTGCTGAAACTCCCATGCAACCACCAACCACAACCAAATCAAGTTTCTCTCTTTCTTCTCTTCATAATTCATATACGAAATGAAATAAGTGCGTAATTTTCATTACGTCTTAGACAAAATTGGATCAAACAACATTATTTTATTTTATTTTTTGTGGAAACAACGTAATCTGATTAAAAATAATATTATTATTATTAATACAACAGCAGCATTACCATTTTTTTCACAAATTAACAAACATAATACACATAACCATGCATTTAGCAGCCATGCTGTCTTAATTACTTAATTCTCCTGCGACAACCCCGCCCGGTTTTGATGTTGATTTCAGTGAAACAAGTTCATCCACTTGTCAGAATTTCGACAACAGACACACATTTCTTCATCTGGTTCGGAAACAAAAGGCACTTCTTTGTTTCAATCGCTCTTTTCGCTTTCCTCGTAAAACCAAAGAATACCATAACCAAAATAATTTTGTTTTTCTTCGAATGGAAGATTCATAATTTTTGTTTTATCATCATTACATGATGCTGCATTGGTATTTTGATTCATTCCTTCATGATTTCTGCGTAAAAGAATTATTTGATCGTCCTTCTTGTTTAGTTTGCAAAATTTTACTGTGAAAGAGTGAATATATTCATGGAGACGTGAAATTGTAAAGAGTTAGTGCAGAAATGAGCAAAGAAAGTGGTAGTAGTGTATATAAGGCATGGGAAGCCACGGTGCGCAAGACACAGGCTGCAAGGAAGCGTGCTAACAGCATTTTCGGAATTTCAGTGGATCATGCAGACGATGATGATCATGACCATAGTAGCGATGAAAGTGATTGTGGCCCTGAAGATATGATATATAATGCAGATAGGATCCTTCCCAATGGAGACTACTACACCGGTCATTGGTGCGAAAATTTCCCTCATGGCCAAGGAAAGTACTTATGGACCGATGGCTGTATGTATGTTGGAGAGTGGTTTAAAGGCAAAACCATGGGGAAAGGTAGGTTCAGCTGGCCTTCCGGGGCTACGTATGAGGGCGAGTTTAAAAGCGGATACATGGATGGGAATGGTACGTACACAGGGTCTAATGGCGATACTTATAAGGGACAATGGGTTATGAATTTAAAACATGGACATGGTACTAAGAATTATTCGAATGGGGATTGGTACGAGGGGGAATGGCGACGCGGGTTGCAGGAAGGTCAAGGCAGGTATCAATGGAAGGATGGGAACCATTACATAGGGGAATGGAAAAATGGAGTGATTTGTGGGAAAGGGGCATTTGTTTGGAGTAATGGGAATAGGTATGATGGAAATTGGGAAGACTGTGTACCTAAAGGGAATGGGACTTTCCGATGGCCTGATGGGAGTCTTTACGTAGGGAATTGGAGTAAGGATCTGAGTGAGCAGAACGGGACTTATTATCCATCCCAGTCATCATCGGACGCCAATCTTGAATGGAATCCTGAAGATGTGTACAATGTTGATTTGAAGAATTGTATAATTTGTCCAGGGGATAAGGTTTCGATTTTGCCATCCCAGAAGAAGCTTGCAGTGTGGAGATCAGCAAAGGGTGAGAGTGTCAAGCCGAGAAGAATGTCGGTGGATGGAAGGGTAAGCGTTGGGCTGGATAAACCATTTGATAGGATGCAAATGTGGGATGGTAGTGCCCATGGCGGTGAATCACCATGTAATGCAGGTGATCATAGGGCTTCTACTGTCGGGGGAGAACTGGATGAAGATATGATGGGTCTGCATGTTGAAGATGGGAATCAAAGGGGACTCCCAATGAAGGTACCTAAGACTGCAAGGAGGCAGGGGGAAACAATCAGCAGGGGCCACAAAAACTATGAACTCATGCTCAATTTGCAGCTAGGAATCAGGTTTTAATGCATTATTAATTAACTTCGTACGATTTTATTGCACCTTCTTGTTTCTATCTTATCATTTTGGTTCAACTGCTAATATCATACACATTGTAGATCTTTCGCTTGTAAAGATGTCGTGGATTTGATTCCTGTAGTCTAATGTGAGTCATTTGATGTATGTGGAATGATTTCGTGTACAGGCATTCTGTTGGCAGACCAGGTCCATCTGGATCCCTTGATCTGAAGCCTTCGGCTTTCGACCCCAGGGAAAAATATTGGACAAGATTTCCTTCAGAAGGCTCCAAATACACTCCGCCACACCAGTCCTGTGAATTTAAATGGAAGGATTACTGTCCATTAGTCTTCAGGTCTGACCTTGTACATAACAAATATACATATATCTCTGCTGTTGCTGGTTTCCACAAAGCGGGGAAAATGTCACTTAATTTCGCTAGATGTAACCGTTTATCATGTACAAATGTTTTTTTCTGTTCAGGACCCTTAGAAAGTTGTTCAAGGTCGATCAAGCAGACTACATGTTATCCATTTGCGGGAATGATGCGCTTCGGGAACTCTCCTCTCCTGGTAAAAGTGGCAGCTTCTTTTACTTGACCAATGACGACCGCTACATGATTAAAACAATGAAGAAGGCAGAAGTTAAAGTAAGTTCTATGTGCACTCCCCTCATATTTTTCTCTCAAATCAACACTAGTCTTAACTGAGTAATTGGTTAATTTCCGTTTAACGGCGAATTAGGTGCTTATAAGGATGCTTTCAGCCTACTACAACCATGTTCGAGCATACGAAAACACTCTGGTCACTAAATTTTATGGTCTACATTGTGTAAAGCTAATGGGCCAACCTATTCAAAAAAAGGTACTTTCCAAGTATTGGTAGATCTATATACAACTAGTTCATACTTTTAGTTTTGAGTATACCATTTACAATTTTCCTATGATCCAGGTGCGGTTCATCATCATGGGGAACCTTTTCTGTTCCGAGTATACAATTCACAGACGTTTCGACTTGAAGGGATCTTCCCTCGGTCGAACAACAGATAAGCCCGAGACAGAGATTGATGAAATGACTATTCTTAAGGATCTTGATCTTAACTTTATATTTCGACTTCAGAAGACATGGTTTCAAGATTTTTGCAGGTGAACTGTTTTCTTCTTTGGCTCCATTGTTTTGCTAACATACTGGAACAACATGTTGAAGAATACAGTCCCACATCGGAAATATAACAAAATAATATATGTGGTGGGAGGTTCACTATAATATCAGTAAGGCATTTTGTGACAAAACTCACACCTAGTAATAGGCGGTTAAGTTGGTGACATTATCGATGATGTTGCTGGTGGTGGCCATGCCGCGCTAAAATGTTTATCACGACAACAACAATTAAATATACGTACTTAAATGAACGTGTTTGGGTTTTTGCAGGCAAATTGATAGGGATTGTGAGTTTCTTGAACAGGAGAGAATAATGGATTATAGTCTGTTGGTTGGACTGCATTTCAGAAATATATCAGCTGCTGGGGATCTCATTCCTTCTGGAGCACACACTCCTACTGGTTGGTATTACTTTTTTTATATAAAGTCCTATATTTTCTTCATTTTTCAGTAACAATTTGCTCATCATACAAGAGGCTGCTATGTTTTCTTTCCCTCAGGTGACCAAGAGAGCGAGGGAGCTCCCCGTCTTTCTCGAGCAGACATGGATCAACTTCTTTTAGATCCATCCAGGTCAAATCTCTCTCTACTTAAACCACTCGTGATTGGTGCTTGAAACAAGTAAACAAACATACATACATACATATACATACATATACATATACATATATATATATATATATATATATATATATATATATATATATATATATCAATCTCAGTATTTACGGTAAAAAACACAACGGAGATTATGAAAAACTAGTATGAAGCTTTTTATGGCGATTTGGTTTTGAGATGCAGGTGGGCTAGTATTAAATTGGGTTTGAACATGCCAGCAAGAGTTGAAAAGACAGAGAGAAAAACTGATTGTGAATTTCAACTTGTGGTAGATCCAACTGGGGAGTATTATGATGTTATAATGTTCTTTGGAATCATAGACATTCTTCAAGACTACGACATAAGCAAGAAGCTTGAGCATGCGTACAAGTCCATCCAGTACGACGCAACTTCTATATCCGCTGTTGATCCGAAGCAATATTCCAGGCGCTTTCGTGATTTCATTTACAAAGTTTTTGCGGAAGAAACCACTTGAAACTTGAAACTAAGGAATTCTCTCCTCATTTCTTGACTAGCAAGAAAACTGTTCAAATTTCGACAACAAAGTTTTATTTCGGAAACACGACGAGAGTACGTACATATTTC